CAAGGCAAATGCCCATTTTCCACTGAGGCAGCTGAGGCCGAGAGCATTCACAGAGCTGTCCTGACATCATGCTGCTGTTGCTGTGGTCACGCTGGGCTGTGGCCACAGGTCAGCCTGGCTCTGCTGTGGATCACAGTGTCTCCCCACTTCTCCGTTTAAATACTGCATGGTCCCCATATGGTTCACATATGACATCCGAGTCACACGTGGCTGGTTTGTAGTCATAAAATGATAGGAGAGATCACTCTTCTGTAGTGGCAGCAAGCAGTCCCTTTGGTTGGGCATTTTCAGACCCTTGAATCACGAGGCAGATTTTGGAACTGGATAAAGAATAAACCAATAAGACTTGGTCTCTTGAGGGTGTCCGTAAACTATGCCACCAGCAAGTGTCCTCAGATCCCAGGGAAATGGAGGAAGAGTATGTGGGTTGCTTAATTACTCTGCTTTTCTGGCTGAGCCCCGGGTGTCGGGAGCAGGTGGGCTTCTCAGCTACTTAGAAGTTGCCTGATGCTTCACGTGTGGGATGCCACCTGTGCAGTTCTGTTTTAAAATAATGGGTACTAGCATCTGTATACATAATTTAAAATAAATTTACATTCTTATTCTGCCTGAGATGAGAAGATTGTGTACTGGTATGATTAGAGAGAAGAGTGAGGATTTGGAGAAGGGTTGAGAGAGGCATTTTATAGCATTTTTAGATTCAAAGCTCTTGGTATGAAGTTCTTCCTGTTAAAGAAAGCTGAGTGGATGGATGGATGGATGGATGGATCTATCTAGATGGCAAAGAAGAAGCGAGGGACAAATGCAAGGTTAATAGTTTATTTTGGAGTTGTTGGGATTATGGATGCTTTTTGTTTGTCCGTATTCATCTTTCTTTTCTAAATTTTTCTGTAATTAATGAAAGTGTAAAGTAGGAAGTAGCCTGAAATAACCCTAGAAAGGGCAAAGTCATGGAGTGTGTGTTAGTCGTTACCGTTCTTCATTATATATACATATATATATATATATATATAAAATACGCACATTTCCATTTCTTCCACTATATATATAGAAATACAAATATAGAAATACATATATACATATGCATATACATATATAGTTTTGAGCACATGGAGGGTTGCACCTTCTGAAGCTAAGCATAACCACATGACTTGCTTTGCCAACAAAATCTGAGCAGAAGTGACATCTGTACTGCTGGGTGAAGGCCTTGAGATCCATCCTGTGTGCACTTTGTCACATTCTCCTCCCCACACTGTAGAGGCTAGTGATGTTACAGCAGATGGAGGCCCCATCTGCCTGGGTCCCTGGCTAACCATGATGAACATGATCCCGCCGACCTGGGATGGGCATGAAGTGTGAGTGAGCAGTGATCCTTGATTGTTTTAAGACACTGAGGTTTGGGAGCTGTTCAGTAAGGATACTGAAGCACATCCTCCTGATTGGTATGGAGGCAGTTAGGTGAGCCATACTAAGGAAGCTGGACCGTATCTTATTGGCCATTCTAAGCTACAAAGAGGTTTTAAGCTGGGACTTTGTACATGTGTTTGATTTGCCAATCCAAAGAGTAAACCCTGTCCAAAGAAAGCCCAAACTTCTTATGTTCTAGATGGCAAATGCTAATTTAACACCTCTTAATTAAAAAAACCCACCGGTTCTATAGTGGTGGTGGAACAGTCTGTATCTTGAATGTGGTGATTGTTATATGAATCTGTATATAGAATAAATTGTCATAGATTTATACACAAAGATATTCCAAATAAAAGAAATTGAGTACATCCCCAAACTGGTAAAGCCCAGGGAATGTCTGTGGTCTAATGAACTGTGTTTGCACCACTGTCGATTTTCTGGTTCTGATAATGTGCTATAGACATGAGTAAGATGTCACCATTGTTGGTGCTGGGAGGCAGGGCACTCTTGGTGTTATTTTTGCCACTTCTTGTGAGTCTGTAACTGGTTCCAAATCGAAGTTAACAACAACAGAAAGTTTATGAGTTAAACCAGGGAAGTGCATTGTGGTCAGTCCCAGATTCCTGGCCAGACGTGGCAGGAAAGCTCACACAGGCGGACAGAGCCTCTTGCCTCCACCTAGCACGCAGCAGTTTATCCCTCAGAAATGAATGCTGTTTGCAGTGCCTTGGCCACTGTGTTCCCGTTTCAAGCACATCCCATGATAAACATGTCTATCGTGTTGTTAGGTTTGTGAGACAGTCAGAAGAGCAGCGCCCCCCCCCCCCCAGCACGCTTGCACACGCACACACACACACCACACACACCCTGATTCTAAAAGCTGTGTGTTTTTTCTTCCGTGAACTTACCAGATTGCACACAGTTTCTCTGCATTTCACAGGGTCAGTAGCAGGAGCAGGAAACCTGATGCCGGGGGCAGGAGAACTACCTGGGTAATAGTGTGTGGACTTGAATCACTGTCCCCAGGAGCCTAGGAACCCACAGCCTGTGGATTAGTCTGTTGAACTAGTCAGTGGCTTAGGACCCCTTGTTCCCTCTGGATGTGTATGTTCTGATTTTGTTCTTATTGGTGGTGGCAGCTCTGTACTTTATTTTAAAGCGAAGGGGGAGGACCAAAAGACAACTTACCAGTTGTAAGTTACACATACAGAAGGATGTACTGGCCCACTTGGCTGAGCCATCATTTTCTTTGGAAGTTGCTTTGGGGTCACCATCTGGGAATGTTCTTCCTGTTTTATTAGTGAAATATGTATATGCATTTTTGTGATATGTAGCCTGCATATCCTGTGGGGTTTCCCTAAGGGGCTTGGCTGAGAGGAACGATGTCTTCACCGCCGCCTCCCCAACAGAATGAATATCTGGCTTTCCTCTTGTGATACATTCAAAGTTCTGTAAGATTCTCTGTATGGCATTGAGTATCATGCTCTAAGTGAAGTAAGGCTGGGTGGGGTCAGAGGGGGTAGAATGGGGGTGAAAGGCCACTTTATTCGCTATGGGGACTAAAAGTTAGCCATTGACAGACTTGGTACGCCAAAGAGATTTGAGTCATCGAACAGTTATCAGCCATGCAGACAGAACGTGAGTGGGGTTTTTCTCCTGGTCTGGAGGCCCAGGCTCTCTACACGGTACAACCTCACTCAAATGCGTTAATTTCTGCTGTTGGTGGTCTCTTTCTTTGTAGGACAAGGGGTGTGACCCCAAGTCACCATGGACCCTCCCGCTCTACTATTCTCTGGTCTTAGGAAACTCCTAACAAAACCCATGTGTTGGCACTTAACCCTCTTCCTGGCACAGGTTAAATGCTTCTCCTTCTTCCAAAATCGGCACATTTGTGCACCTGCCACTGTTACCCAAGGAAATTCAGTCTACATTGGTCAACTTGCCTTCACCACCTATATGCCTTTTAGGGTTTGGGGTAGTCATTTAATCACCTTACACCCTTTTCCCTAAACCCGGGCTCTGTTAGGAGACATGCCCTGGATCCTCTGGGATCTAACAGTGAACTGGTCCGATGCGGTCTTCATTAATATCATTCCATCCACCGTTCTGCACTGTAGCTCACCCAAACCACCATTTGTTGCAGACCGGAAGGAGTTTGGCACACTAGATATCTTACCTACTTCTAGTCAAGTTTATTAAATACCTTCTCTCTTCCAGACTGGATGTTAGGTGCTTTACACTCATTCTCACAAGTCTGTGAGAAGATAATTAATATTTTCCTTTTATAAATGAGGAACTGAGGCTCAGAAATGTTAAATGGCCCAAAGTCAGTTGGCCTCCCAGCTGCCTGATGCTTATTATTCAGGTCTTGGGACCTGAGTTCCAGCCCAGGACTTAGGCGGCCAATTCAAACTGCCGCAGATATCCTAAGCATCTCAGCATAGCTTGGGCCTCTCCCTGAATAAGACTACTGAGGTGGAGAATGTGCCGTTTGCATCCCCCTTCATACCATTCGTCTCCCAGTCTCACCGTAGCATTTCCCAGGCTCGCCGTTTGTTTTCTGGGACTTTCCTTACCTGAACAGGCAGGTGGCCCCAGCATTCTTGGCTGTACATGCTTTGGAGGAGATAGGTCTAAGAAGTGATAGTATTTAATTGCATACCCTGCAGGCCAGCCAGACTTAAAAATCGGGAGTGCCCCATAAACATGGGGCATGTCTGAAAGGCAACCCTCATCTTTCCAGAATTGTGCTAGGACACTGTCCAATGGAATATGATTGCTTCAAATCCTGATGCTCCTGGCCTTCTAGTTTCTGTCAAGGAGGGAACGTGGGCTTTGGTGTCAGACTGACGTGGTGAATCCTTGCCTCCAACCCTTCTTAGCTCTGGAATCTCTTACAAGAGACCACATGTAAAATAGGGAAAGTAGAACCCATTCAGTTGTTGTGGGGATGTGACAAGATGGTGCATGTAAGCGCCCAGCCCACGGTCAGCCCTGAACATACAGTAGTCATTCTTATTATCCACGTGTGCCCCACCTATTTGTAGGGTTTTCTGGGTTGTGAAACCAGAGGTCTCTCTGGGATCTAGGTCACTCAGGGTCCATTGGAATAAATGAGTTTTGCCTGCTTTTGTACTTTCTCTAAATGAATCATCTTTAATTTTTGACACAGGCTCAGTGGAATCATTTCAGAACCTGGATGGCAGCTTTTGAGATGAAAATATCATCTACTGAATTCTTGCAAGAGCCAGGCTTTGTCCTGGCATTCCCCTATTTTTACGGGGTTTTTTTTTTTAGGACGCAGATTGAGAGGAGATATGTGAGCCTGAAGACCCTTTGGAGCCTTCTCTGTGCGCTGAGTGAGACAGCACAACCCCAGCCTGTGGTTTTAGTAGATTCCCAGTCTCACATCCTCCCAAACTTGGCAGTAAAAGCCCTGTTCTTCCATTCATTCCAATGATTTATATTCTCTCTGGGCGTCTAATATTAAACAGGGGAATTCCGACATGTTCCATAACACATTTACTGTAACTTGATACCATGAACTAAACTTGCTGTTATTTATCATTTCTTTTTATTTTCTCTCGTTCCAGCACAAAGCCAAGGTAGAAGCAATGACCCTGGACCTCGCTCTGCTCCGTAGCGTGCAACATTTTGCTCAAGCGTTCAAGGCCAAGAATCTGTGAGTGTTCCAGTGGAGGGTTATAGATCATAATATCTTGCTATTGTAATGTCTTTATCAGATGAACACAATTGGGAGAACACAAATGCGAGGCTGTTGTGTTGTCCTGGTGTCCAACAGCAGGCTCATTTATGTTGGCCCCGTTAAGGTATACCATATTTTCTTGACTTCTTGAGTCACCCTCATTATGAGATGTGTCATCAATCTAATAACAGCTCCCCCAATAAAAAAGGAAAGACACTATTCAAGCACTAGTAAGAGTGGCTAATAAAAGCGAGTTGATGCATCTGTAGGATGCATCCTGATTACTCACATTTTTGCAGTGCATCTCAGAATCAAGGAAAAGCATATTTTAACTGCGACCAGGAACGAGTAGCCTTACTTATCCAGTTCTCCAAGGGGGCCGAGAATCAGAGCATGAGGAGGTTCTACCGTTTCCACGTCTACAATGACTTTATGTTATGTGTGAACATGGCTGCAAAACATGGACCCACGTTGTGAGACAGTTATTCCTCTTTCCTTCTCTTTTAGTCTTTCAAAATGCCCGAAGGAGGAAGCCTTCGCTAGGGGCTGGCAAGTGTTTATGCCACCTCCCTTTCTTTTTTTTTTTTTTTTAAAGATTTTATTTATTTATTCATGACAGAGAGAGAGAGAGAGAGGCAGAGGGAGAAGCAGGCTCCCCGCAGAGCAGAGAGCCCGATGCGGGACTCGATCCCGGGACCCTGGGATCAGGACCTGAGCCGAAGGCAGACGCTTAACCATCTGAGCCACCCAGGCGCCCCGCCACCTCCCTTTCTAACAGAGAGAGCAGACCTCAGACCAGAGCTGGGGAAAAACAGTGGTGGCTAGCTCCATTTTAATTACAATATTTTGTTTCCAAGTGTTTATTTTTATGGTTCCCTCATATTGAGGGCAAGCAATACTGGTTTCTCATTTAACATAGCAGTTTAAATTTCATTTAAAAAAAAATAACTGCATTTATTTATTTATTCATTTATTTATTTATTTATTTATTTAGTGAATTGATTTAAACACAAGGATTAAGTTAATAACAGTACAGGTGGTGCCAAGGATAAGATAGTTTTAGAAGTGGCACCAGAATGACGGAATTTGGGAGAATGCTGATAAATGACAGTTTGTCTTGGGGTTAGGCTATGCTGGGAGTGTTGGTTTTATGGTTCTCCTAGCAGATGACGGATGTATGGGGAGGCATTTAAACCAGATATTCAGAAAGTACTATGTAGATCTCGGCCTGCAGTGCTGGCCAGTGGCCAGCGCCTCTTGAGTCTGCCTCAGTGTCTCACTCTGCTCTTTTATGCTGCAAGGAAGTCTGTTCTCTAAAGCCGTTTAGCAAGCGGCCTGAGTCCTTGAGGTTGAAATACAAAGTCAGAGTCTTGAGTGGATTTGCACTGTCCCCATAAACGCAGGCCGTGAACTCACCAAACAGTCGGGTCATGTCCGTAGTGAGCCAGCAGAGCTGGGCGAGCCCGCTGTGTGCTCTCCACGGCGTCTGCCAGTTGGTGGCTGGCAGCCCCTTCTGGAGCTCCCAGTTCAGGGTACAGGGTTTTGCTAAAAGGAAAATCGCCTTCGATTTTTGCTAAAGGTCAGTTCAGGGTACAGCAATAGCTTTGAAGACATTTGCTTGTGTATAACTGCATTGCTCATTTATCCACTTGCTCATTCACTTCACACACATTCGGTGAGTGCCTCCAAAGCCCCAGCCCCTCTTCTGGGCTCTGGGAAGAGAGTGGTGTCCCCTGGAAACCCACTTCCCCTCAGACTAGAAGCTATAATCTCAGGGGCCAGCAAGCACTTTTATTGCTCAGGGCTGACTCCTCGACCTACTGTTTTTGGGCTTGTTTGGAAGGATAGTAATAATAATAATAGCAGCAGTGAGGGGTAGCAGTTCATTTATTCAGTGCTGTTATAGGCCACACACTGAGAACCCTTTGCGTGCATTTTCTGATTTGCTGCTCTTTCTTACTCTGTTATACAGATGAGGAGAGCAAGACTAGACGGGGAAGGTGGGTTATCTGAGGGCCCACAGGTGGGAAGCAGGGCGTGGGGGGCCTGAGAGCCTCCGTGGTAGTCCCTCCAGGCCTCCTGCTCACCCACCATGCGGCCCTGTCTCTCACTAGAAATGCAGTGGAGACTGAGATCGGAGACAGTGAGTGACTCTGGCAGGGTCACTTGGCAGACTGGGAGCAGCCTTGGACTTGCCTCCAGTTCTGACTGTCACGCTCTCCCTGACCACGGGGCGTCCTCTCTGTGCTTCCTCTGGTCCCTGGCTCAGCCCGAGCTGGGAGCAGCAGTATGGCTGAGGCGCGCCAACTGTTACGTAACAGGACCATCTTCCAAGTCATAGCAGGACTGTTAGTTCAAGTAGTTCAGAAATTACCAAATTCAACTGCCTTTTGTAATCAGCAACCTCAGACTCTTGGAGAAAGCTATCCCCCATTTTGCCCTAATCCTAGATTTTAGCAAATGACTGAATTTTTGTACTTCTACGTTCAGAAACGAAGGCGATTTTCCTTTTAGCAAAACCCTGTACCACAAACCTCTTTTTATATGTCTCTCGAGATCCAGTCTTTTACACGGCTTAGAGAAATATTGTGGTGGCGAAAATATGCATAAAACAGTGAGTGATTTTACTCTTGAAATACTGCCAAAGTGAAATCTCTCCTGGATAGGCAGATGACAGTTTAGTACTTACGGGTCTTTAGATTCTGAGCACTGTCAGAAGTGAATTTAAGTGCAGGTGGCTGGGCTGCCAAAAACCACGTGTAGCCTCCTGCTTCTCATCACCTCCCATCTTCAGACATGAAAATTTGCTTGTGTGTAAAACATAATGACAAATGAAAGAAAGCCTGCCAGTTCAGAACCAATCTCCTTTTGTGCTGTTGGACCAAGGAGAGGAACAACCCTCACGCTGAAATTCCATGTGGACACCCCCATTTACTGTTCTGTTTTAAAGCCTGTGAGCACGCCAGAAGTACTGTCTGCCTCCTCGCTCCTGTGTGTATTTCCGCCCGGTTTGTGCTCCCGCTCATGTGTGCCTCCCTGCACTGGGAGAGGCGACGTGTCGTGTAGCCCGACACAGAGAAAGGTAGAAACAGATGCTAGAGGCAAACCCTGCTGGAAGGGGCAGCCTGTCCTACCCTCCATCTGCCTTCTAGCAGGAGGAGATGTACATTCAGCCTACTCTGGGACATCTTCTTTTTTCCGGGCCGGGGAAAAGGTGGTGGGCGGGAGGCTATTTTAGAATGAGTGCCGCTAATAATGATTAAACAAAATAAAAGCTGCTAGCCAGCTTGCTTTTTATTCTGTGCAAGGAAGGGTGCTCAGCATTTATAAGTGAATTCTCATTTTAATTTCTTACAGCCACCCTAGGCATTAGTCATTTTTCTCTCTAGTTTACAAATTGAAAGGCTCCAGTCTTTCACAGAGAGGCTAAATTGCTTTTCCAACTTCAGCCAGTGGTGGATTCCCAGTTTGAACCCAATTGTGTCTGAATCCAGAACAATCCAGGCTGAATCCATAACTGCTCTTCTTGCTACATCTCACACTTCAGTCCCACGTTTCAGCATGCATTCCTGGACTGGGATGGACCTGTGGAGGTAGTTGCTCCACAATCTAGCAGCTTAACACTATTAAAAACAAACATTTCCATGCTCTCTTTCAGTTTGTTTAAATCAGTTGCTTGTTCAAACACAATATATACGCTTTAATCTGTAGGTTTCCCTTCAAAAATTTTTTTTTTTTTTTTAATTAATGCAGCTTACTTGTTGACAGGGTTGCCCTTGAGAGTTTTCTCTATCCTATACTTCAGGAACTGCATCCCCGTGGTGCCACTGAACATGTTCTTTTGTTCTCTTGTCTCCTGAATTTCTTGTGAAGTGTAGCTAAGTCTAGAGCTTGGTCCAATGCCCATTTAATTCTTGGGCAAGAGTGCTGCATGGGTGGTGGTGTAGTCTGCCATCAAGAAGACATGCGTGGCTGCTTGCCAACACCAGCTTTCCTGGGCGTGGCACACCCTGACTGCTCCATTCTTCTGCCCACTTCCTCGTGCATTCATTCATTCGGCTCTTCTCCTCGCACTCTTCTGGGTGGTCAGGCCAGGAGTCCTCTGCCTGCTTCCAGGCAGTTCTCCCCAGAGTTAGTGGTGGTAGTGGTCGGCCAGTGTGTCTCAGGTCGGGTTATGTTGGGCATTACTGGAAAGTTCCAAGCCCGAGCCTGTGGTTAAGTCCCAACCAAACTGAATTTTGAAGGAAATTTTGTTTAAACTGCAATCCCGGACAGCAGCCAGACCCCACACTGCCTGGCGGGCGGAGGCATCCATCAGAGTATGAGTAGCTGGGACCTTTACTAATCATTCAGACCAAATATTGACATTTTTCTAACGCACTCTGCAACCATAGTCCGTTGTTTGGGGCGCTTTTGTACATTTTCATTCCTAGTTTCTAGCTGCTTAGCTCACTGAAACATGCATATTTTGAGCAGGACCTGGAACAGTTTGACAGTTACTAGAACCAGAAGCTCTGTAGATATTTTTCCTTTTTTCAGAAGATATTACAAAGTTTGAGTTCTGGATATTCCTGAAATAATGGACATCTGGATTCCAATCCTGGAGTTTTGAAAATTGGTAATGGCACTTAACACAGGAAACTCTTGGCTTGGATCCCAGGTACCAATCAACTCTTACAATGTTGACCAAGGGTTTTGATTTGTTCTGGAAATTAATTGAAATCGATACTCAGTTCATATTAAAATAATATATACAATTCTGATGGTTTCTAGAACTTCATTTTTGATCATGGATTTCTACTTTGCTTTCTCAACCTTTTGTCTCTAGTATAATTTAAAGAAATTAGACTTTGTTTCATTTAGGAAATAATATAGATTACTGATGTTTTAAAAAAAAATGCTAAGAGAACAGTTTTCTTTATTTTTTAAACATTTGAGGGGGACAATCTTTAACAAAGTTATTTATTTTTACTTTT